ATTTTAATAGCAAGGCCAGATTTTGGTGGTTCCCCTACTTCATACACAATGGCTCAAAGTTGCTTTCATTGTAATTGCTGTCCAATTAGCTGATGATTATTAAAAATTACAGAGGAACTATAATTGGTTTGGACCACGCCATATATTATCTGTCTCATTTTTTTTGGTGAAGTGTGAGAACCTAAAATAACCCCAGTCAGTCTGGATGATCCTGTAAAGTTCTCATTAAGAAGAGTGATCTTTGATCTACGTTTTCTGGAGATCATGAAGGTTTCTTATTGTGATGACTAATGGGACTTATTTTTTTATTATTTTTTATCTAGATAGAATGAATATGTTTTATGCTCCTTTACTGCACAAGCAAAATCCTTTAAATTCTCCCTCCAGAGACCAATATGGTTATACTGCCTGGGTACCATAATGGCATGGGAGCGAAGCTAAAACAGGTGGATGCCCCAGAGCAGTGCTCATAGCAAAGCAACTAAGAATTGTAGGAGTGGAGCAGCACATCTGCTGTTGACTTTACTATAACATAACCTTTTCTAATGCTATCTTCAAATCTACACTTGTGCCTAGTTACCCTGTCACTTAGTTTGCATCTTTATATATATATATATTTTTTTTTTTTTTCCAAACTCTTTGTTTCATGAGATAGGTTTCTTCCTGAAGTATAATCGTGGTATCACCCTGAAGGGCTGAAAATGCATCTCAAACTGCAGCAGGCAGCATGTCTATCTGATTGATCATCAGAAAGTTGAGTTGCAATGGGAGGCAAAGTCATCAGCGCTGAATGTTTCAGGAAGGCCTTTTTTGTACTGAGATTAAGATATCATGAAATATATATACTCACTTCTGCATGTGCTTTATTGTCTGTTGGGTATGTGCTTAGAAAGAGTTTGTTTAACCAGTATAATACTGCCATCAGCGTTACAGTGGAGAAGCTAGTGAGTTTATACCAACAGTTATTTTTTGTTCTTAAATAAAACTTTTTACACTTATGTCATGCCATTATCTTTGTGTGCATTACTTCTATAAAACTGTATAATATATATTTACATGACCTGGCTGTACTTATTGCATGCAGTTCTATGAGAATTTAATTTGATGCAACACAGTTCACTTTGAAACTCTCAATACCTAAAATAAAGTGGTAATAATGGTATTATGTGCAACCTTTCCAATTGAGTCATCTTTTCAATGACATGTAAAAGAAGTCCTCTACTACAAGTAACTTCAAATGGAAGAAAATGTCCTAAAATACAGATGTGTGAAGGCTTTCCTCAAAACCTGTCTTTTCTCAAGCTGAGAGCACAACCTGCTTAATTTGCCACTACGAACACTGGGCACTGCAGAATGGTTTCGCAATAATTATTTTGTACTTCAATATGAATTGGATGTAAGGGTCAAAGAAATTAACACTGGAATAACATTTAATCTAGGACATAAATCATTGTTAACTCTTCTAATTTTACAATTAAACTGAATATTCAATCTGTCAACCCTTCAGAGTATCCAGTCTTTATGTTCAGTCTTAGAATTTTGTTGCTTTTATTTAGAGAAAAGTTTATTATTGGGAAGCATGTCACTGAACTGTTAATGCAATAAATTCCATTTTATTTTCAAGCCATTCCTGTGTTTTACTTTACAAAGTATGAAAATAGACACGATTAGATAATTTTTTAGTTTGGTTAAACCATATGCAATTTGCCGTGCTACCAGGAACGTGAAACTATGTTATTCTGCAAAACATTATCTCAGGGTCTAATAACAAGCTAGAGACATGGCAAATAAAGAAGCCTGAGGGATGTTAAGACAGAAAGCCTTTATCTGCATTGCTGGTTCCATTTCGGTTGATATTAATAGCAGCTGAATAACTATCACAGGGATACGTGGTGGCTGACGGCAAGTAGATGAATGTGCAGTGGCACAAAATTTCCGGCTACAGAAACTTCTGTGCTAAGGCTGCTACTGTGTAAGACACCAACTTGAACAACCCGAGCACAAACACAGGGCACAGCCAGGACCTTACCATACCTTGCTATACTTAACAGAGCTCTCTTTCTGACCAGCAATGAAATGCGATAGCCAGGTAATGTGAAGTCTGTTCTGTGATGCCCTCCAGAAGATAAAGAAATCCACTCCCTTAATGTATACTACTCAGAGAAAAGATTTCCTCTTAACTGGCAGCACGTGCCAGCATGCAGTCTGGCACACCAGGCTGAGGCAAATGATATCATGGTTTGCAGAGGATTAACTGATTGAAGTGAAAAATAAAGATTTTTCACATTGATATTGAAAACACTATAACAAGTATACTTTTCCACAAAACAAGCATGCAACCTTTGTGCAACTGGACAGCAACCAAGATCAAATGCCTGTTAAAGTGGGTCTTGTAAGGAGGTAAGCATAATTCCAATGTGTAGCTACATTTTCTTTTAAAGGACAGTTTCTGAACACGGGAATGTACAACAGGCTAGGGTACCTGACCTCGCAGCAGAGTAAGTCTCCCAAGGGCTTGAAAAATAAAAGGACTATTTCTAAACATCAAAGGTTGAAATCAACTGCATGAAAATACAAAGAGTAAGTAAGATTTTTTTCTATCTTGTCTCAGCAGGTGATAGAAGGATGCAAAGCATAAAATACTATGTTTTTCTGAAAAGTAATCTGTATAACTTGTTCAGGCTAGGGGAGACAGTCACTAAATACAAGCCTTTTGTGTTGATGCTTTTCACCAGGAATGCCATAGCACCTTTTGAGAGAAACTCCCATTCTTCCTTCTACCATTTGTGTATTTCTTGAGTGATATCAAGGCTGACAGATGAATATTCCTTGTTGGCAACCCCAACCAATTTCAGCAAAACCATAAACTTCAACAAAAAGCTCACATGAATTCTGCACTTGGGTTAGGTTTAGCAATTATTAATAGCCCATTATGTTTAAGAAATGCTGTTTCTAGTTCAAGAAATACTAAAAACAGGAGAAGATCCAGGATCTGAGACTGTCAGCTAGCTCACTACTGGAAATTACTATTCTGAAGAGTTCAGACATTATTAAAGGTGAGAATAATACAACACATTCAAGTTCCTTTCCCTTTCTTTTTCTCCTGTCCTCTATATTAAATCAGAAATCAGAGAAAGATATGACCTCATAGGTAACCTACTTTCCTCTTCTGCCAATGCAGACTCATTCTCTATGTTAGTACCCATTTCTGAGAGGTTTTCAAAGCCTGTCTTTAAAATATTCTGATGGGTTTTCCTTTGTTAATTTTGATATATTATTTTACCTTCTAACAGCTCCCTTTTAGTAAGGTTTTCCTGATAGTCAGCCTGAAGCTCTCTCTCATAATTCATTCCCTTAACTGTAAATTTCTTTATTCAGATTCAGTTATATTTATGCCACACCAGGCGCACTGTTTTTTTGTTATTATAATATTATGTTTTGAGCTAAAGTCTAATTTTTTTCTTTCAATTATTTCTCTTACTGAAAGGCAAAATCTTATAGTGAAGTGAATATCTACAGTACAAATTATTTTTGCCCCAGAATATCTGTTTGCAAATTTCCAAGGTTTATCTTATTTTATTTTGTGTGTTTTCATAACTCTTCATAAAAAAGAAACACTTTTTGTTCTCCTTGATATTTATACTGCCTACTTATTCATTACTACCCCTGAAGTTTATTAAGTATGCTTGCCTTCTCTTCCAGAATAGTGAAGATATTAAGAAAATAACCCTACACTATGCAAAAAATACTAGAATAGGACAATCTGTCCTCTTCGTACTTTCAATACCTTGAGTTTACTTGGCTTATTCTTCCTCTCCGTGTAGCCCACTCCTATCAAAACTGTTTAAGATTTGTAGAATTAAGTTTATCTTCTCAGTTTATGTTATTTGTAAGTCTGACTAATACTTAGTCTTAGTTCAAATCTTCTCTTAAAAATATACTATGTCTCAGCATTTTTCTATTTTACTGTAACACCAAATTAGACTTTAATGGTAAGTACTGCAATTATGGCCTGACATTTACACAACCACCTTTTCCCTCCTTTTCTATATTTTCTGTTGAGTTGTTAAATGTAATTCACAATTACACTTGGAAATTCACATCTATAAATGAATTTTTTTTTTTTCATTTAAGTCAAAACCAACCTTACTTAAAATCATTGGAAGAAGTAAAAAAAAAAAAAAAAATAAAAGTGTAATTTTTCTGTCATTGCAACTGCACTTGCCAGCTCTTTAAGGAATGATCAAATGTCTAGAATTCCAGACCATGAAGGCAAAATTCTTGCTCAAAAACAGTCAATTCACATTTACTCATGGCTCATCCAAGCTGCACACTCTATTGACCCAGGCTGACTACAGCAGGCACAACTGCTTTGTACGCAGTGCTGTGCAAACACATGGACAAGGCCACATCCAAAGTTGAACCTGGCCCAATAAGCCCCCCTGGAACAGGGACACAAAATACAGAACTAGCTGAATGGATCCGGACTACCTGGGCTGACTCTGCATACAGACCCTTTATTACCTCCTGGCTTAACTTTTAACACGCCCCATCACACCTGTACCATCAAGTATTCGTAATACCATAACTGCCATAGGGCAAGTTCACCAATTCTGAACTGGTGAGAACATTAAGTAAATAAGCCATTCAATGCAAATAATTTTCCCCTTCCCCCTTCTTTGTGTCCTATTATTGCATTTCTTCCTACAGGAAAACCACAGGTAGAATATGTACTTGATTCAGTGTGTACTTCATCACTGCACTGGGAATCTTCATAATTCTCCAATATGCAGCTGAATAGTCTCTATCAGCACTGAGAATGCCACAGTCACAAATACAACAGTGGGGTGTCATTTAATGTAATGCTGTCAAATGAATAAGTTCTAAGAGATCAGGATTATTTCGTTTTAGCCTCATTAATCTTAAATTCAAGGGAAAAAAATCCTAATATAATGAAATAAAAATAGAAGGAATTAAATTAAATAATGCTTTGCAAATACTTACAGTCCATAAATCTGTGGAGCAATTTCCAGTCGGTTCAGATGCATGTACAGCTCAATATCATGTTTCTTCAGGAGGTGATCCTGGATTTGGTTTACTTTCGCTACAATAGCAATAGATGGGCCCAAGTCCTGTGGTCTGGCAAATGGCATAGGTGTAATCATCACGTCTTTCTCCTGCAGACACAGAAAACGGGGAAAAAAAGAACATCCCATGAAGCCTTATTGTCTAAAGGGACTGCCTACAAGATATTTGTTTTATTGTAATCACTGGCTTCCAAATAGACATAAAAATATTAACAGCTCATTTTTTTTTTCCAGAAGAAGAGTATTCTCAGGTATCCACATCTGTGGAAGGTATTGTGGGATTCCCCTTCCCAGTCTTGCCACGGTTGATCCCCTTGTTCTGCACGTCAATTTTTATGTGCTTTACTTTTCATGCTCTGACAAAGTGTTGACAGCTTTATTTTAGCTTTAATATCAGCAGTCTGAGTCAGTCTAGAGCAAAGCAGATGAATGGTAGCTTAGTAGAGAACATGTGCCCTCAGAGAACAATAAATTGCATACCAAATAGGAAATAACTTATTTTCAAACCATCTTTTCTAAACAGGCTTCCCTTGCTCAGAAAACCTGGTGGCTGTACCTAAAAATGTACACAACTTTGATAAGGCTCCAAAAACCTTTTGAACAAAACCCAAATAGAACAGTGAGATGAACGTGACTGTTAGAAGGTAGATAGCTGGACCTAAAGGTTGTGTAATGTCATGATCTAGAACAAGACACACACCATGTGAGAACAAAGGAAGAGAACTACTGAATCATCAACATCCTGGAACCTGATAGTGCTTTAAATTTGTTCTTCTTGCAAAAGAATATTATTGAAAAAGATGCAGTATGATAGAAAGAAATGCAGCAAGTAATGAACTGCACTGAATAGGAAACATGGAAAAAGGAGAATGAGATATGAAAAAGAATAAGTCAAACCTATCAAGAGAAAGATTGAGGAAAGGGAAATAGAGCTGTCAGGACCAATGTTAAAGTTACAAAAGAGGGAAAATTCGAAGAGTAAGAAGGGAAGATTTTGCAATGACTTTGTTGCAATCTGCCATGATAGCTCTCTGACCTGAAAGATTAACTTTAACAAAACCCTTAGTTTTTCTACCCTTTTGCTCAGTATATTGATAGAGAAGCTTTATCAAGGTCAAATGGTTAATTTCAGAAGACTTCATTACTTCTTAAACTGTTGAAAGACAAATTCACTTGGTTCAATGTTGTGAAAAACGCACTATTTTTAACATTCAATAACAATGAAAGCATATTTTTGTTGTTGTATGAACCATCCCTAAGGTTGCTTCCTATGGTTACTGTCCCTTTTCAGCCCCATTCTCTCTGTATCAGAACTTCAAGAGGAAGGAAGAGAAATACCCATATTTTACAATAATTTACAACATGGTTGAACATTCAAGTGAGCAGCAAACATTTAATAATTTTTATCAAAAAGCCAGTGATTTCAGGTAAAATATTTCTATTTAAGGATCTGATTGATTACAAATTGTATCTTAAAATTTGCTTAATTGTTGCCTTGCTATGGTAATTACAGCAAAGGGATTGATCTGTCTACTGCAGTGTGCTGTTTTTGCCATGCTATTGTGGTAGCAAGACACATTCATTTAAGCTGCTCTAGCAAATCGCTTGACAAAAGCTCCCTCAGACTGTCAAATAAAGCTCCCTGAAATGGCATCTTTTCAGTCAAAATCCTTTCTGTTCTACCAAACAGAAATAAAAGACAGATCTAGCATTTTAGGGGCCAATAAGAAACATTGCTACATTAAAACACTAAAGTTCTTCACAGCTGCAGGTACATAGAGAAAGCTTCTTTATTAGCAAATTGGACAGCTGACTCCTTACCCTGAGTTTTGTTTCTCCACTGTATGGCTCATACAATTTGCCTTTGCCCATCAATCCAGCCTGTCCAGGTCCCTCTGTATAGCCTCCCTACCCTCAAGCAGATCAACACTCCCACCCAATTTGGTGTTATTTGCAAACTTATTTAGGGTCCACCAGATCCCCTTGTCCAGATCACACTGAGAAATATATTAACAGAACTGGCCCCCATACTGAGCCCTGAGGAACAGCACTTCTGACCAGCCACCAGCTGGATTTAACTCCATTAACCACCACTCAGCGGTGCAGACCGTTTTTTACCCAGTGAAGAGTCCACCCATCCAAGCCATGAGCAGCAGTTCATCAGCATCTCAGAAATTAACCCTATTAACAGAATCTTCAAAGCATGACAGAAATCTGTGGAGACAGCGGTTGCTATCAATAATCAATGCCTTGACTGTCCATGCCTCATGATTTGATGCACTCCACCAAGAAGCTCAGTAGATGAGTAGAGTGCATATGATATGTCTGTCATCTCCTCTCGCACAATTTGGTTAAGACAGCAATACATTTAGTCAGTTGAAATTGCTCCCAAAAAATCACATCAGCTGGTGTGAAAGAAACAGCCCAAACAGAAAGATGCTCAAATAAACTAATACAACCAAGCTGCCAAAATTTTTATCTAGAAGCGAGTCACAGTGCCTGTGCCTAAAGCACAGAAGCCAAGTGGGCAACTTGACACTGTGCCCCTGCCCATACTCACTGTATATTGAGCTGCCACATGAGACAAAACACCTGTTTTCTTTTTGTGAGCTTCTAAGTCTTGGAAAAAAAACTGAATGCATGGGTTTGGTCGCCTACTGTTAACATGAAATATAGATGCTCAATCCCAAAGGGATGTGGTTCACACTAAAAAGACAAGAAGAGGGATGGCTCAGAAATGTGCAACACTGTTTACAGGAGAGCATCAGATTCACCTCTAAGAACAGTTTAAATATGGATGCCAGTGAAATGTAGCTGAAAAATTTAGATCAAGTATTTGGAACAGAGTTATCAAATCCCACCACAAAACTTTACCTACCATAACATGAACTGGAATGGCTGGCAGTCAATGCTAATGTAATTTATATATTCATGCATTTGGTAGATAAATGCTACAGCAGTAAGGAGAGGCTAGGACATAGTATGAGAATAAACCTTGGACAGATTTCACTCATTAACCACCAGGGAATGGAGTAGCTGGAGAAGCTCCTCTAATGGCAGTTGGGAGTAATGGAACCAACTGTTAGAGGCTATAAAATGTAACACGTCTCTCAGAGCACACGCTTTCATTGCTTCCTTTGTGAAGATTCAGACTTTATTATGTAGCTAACCCTCAAAGTTGTGATTGTAAAAGGCATATGTACAAGAAAGGATTATTTAAGATTATACATGTTTGCAAAGAACAAGAACAAACAACTAGATATTAATCCATGCACTTTGCATTGTTAATTTTTTATGCCATGAAAGGACTGGAAAGGGCAATGTATACTTTCACCTTCTAACCAAGCACTGCAAATCTGCAAGCAGACCCAGTTATTTCACCGAAATAAAATTCAGCCTCAGACTTTACCACTTCTTGTCACAGAAACTGGAACAAATACATTTGAATACAATGAATTCTGAAAAGCTACACTGAAAGAAACATGTCTCACAGCTTTGTTGTTGGAATAAAAGTGACTATGTAATAACCTTATAAAATTTGTATCTCATATGATTTATCCTTCATTACTGAGAATTATGTAAAAACTCAATTTCAAATAGTGATTTGTAACTGTATATAGCTTAGGTCAAGACGCCAATGCTCTCTGTCTGATAAAATATGCACACAGATACATTCAAATTTTTGATGAAAAGAGAAGCTTTTATGTGTGTCTTGGGTGAACATTTTCTTCAACAGGGAGCAAAAAGCACCTCTCAAACTAGCACTCCCTAATTACAGCTTGGAAATACAGATTTTGGTGCATACGTGCGGACACCCAAACCCAAACAAATTCTTATTAATTTTCTGTTAATTCTTATTAATAATCTGTTAAATCCAGATACTCACCCTGTGGTCTATGTGAAAAATGCAGTGAATCAAGCTGGAACTAAGTCTGGAGGACAACTTTTTTAGGACACTGAAAGCCTTGGCAATACCTGTAATATGGCTATGTTTTCCTAGAGACTTCTACATATACTCCATGACAGAAATAATTTCAGAATTAAAAAAAAAAAAAGAGATAAAAGTAAACAGGGAAAGA